ATAAGTCTAGGTACTTTAAACTAATCTTAGAGGAGGAGTTATATATAATATACCTAAGTTCTTAAAGCCTAAGGCTTTTAATAAAACTAAAGAGAATATTTATATCTTTTTTACTTAAGCTAAGGCTTATTTAAAGATTAATATTACTATTAATAAAGAACCTTTAAAGATTTTTTATATTAGAAACCTTTTTATTAGTAAGAGAATAAAATAATAAGAGCTTACTTTTAGGGATTATCTTAATAATAATAAACCTAAGGTAGAAACTACTTAAATTTTTAATAACTATAATAACTTTAAGGAGTTACTTAAAACTATCTTTAAAGACCTTAATAAGATCTAAACTACTATATATAAGCTTAAAGTACTTAAATAAATAAGATCTATATAATATTATATATAAAAGTTTAGGTATATTACTATTATTATTAATTAAGATAATAATAGCTAAATAAAACTTTTTTATAATAAACTTTAAGAAGATATAAAAGATAAAATTATTAAAAAGGATTAGCTTAATAACTTTAATAGGTTTATTAAATAAGCTATTAAGATTAATAACTATTTCTATATAAGAAAACTTAAATATAATAAAAGAGGAATAAGCTACTAAGGTAACCTCTTATAATATTACTAACTAAATATTAAAAAACGTTAAAATAGATTTATAGCTTATAAAACTTACCTAGGTCTAATAGAACTTAATATTATAAATAAAGAAAAAGGTAAAACTTATTATAATTATAATAAGACTAGATACTTTATAAATAAATATTATACCCCTAAGAAAGCTTAAAAACCTATAATTAAATTATAAAAGCTAAATATAGCTAACTAAGATAAATTACTTATTAAGAATATTAGTATAGCTAATAGTAAAAAATACTTCTCTAAACTAGAGTAAAACTATTATTTACTAAATAATATTAGTTTAGATAAAGATTAGGATTTTAAAATATAACTTATCTTAGATAAGGAAGAAGACCTTAAAATAACTAAATTAAAAATTAAAGTAAATATTAATATAGTCCTAAAGATACCTCTAAGTAAAAGAAAAGATCTTAAGATTACTAAGCTAAATATAAAAGATATATTTATCTATATACTAGTAATACTATTAAAGATAAAGGAGGATTATATTATAAAAAGATAATCTTATTTTAAGAATAGAGAACTTAAGATAGTTATTATATATAAAATAGATATTTTAGATCTTACTATACTTATAATAATATTAATTAATATAAAAAATAAAGAATTATAGGTTTAAGAAGTTAATCTAGAGATTTTAGAACTTAATATTATATACTAAGATTATATAATACTTTTATAGGCTTTTTACCCTTATAATAGTTATAGATATTACCTCTAAAAGAAACTAAAATACTAAATATTTTTAAGTTTTAATAAAAAAAATAAAATTTTTAATAAATATAAACTCTAATACTAGAAACTTAAAAAATAAAGAAGAAATTTTATCTCTTTTATTAAAAACCTTAAAAAGGATTATTAT